AAAAAAAACAAGTTTCATTGAATAATTCAAGAATTTGTCAAAATAATTTGTTTGGAATTATTTTGATTTATACACATAATAACAAAATGAATTTATAAACAAGTTGGCACTAAAAGTTGCCATCTACAGATGGAATTTCATAGTTCAATGATCACTGATGCGATTAATTCTTATTTCGCAAAAGTATCATTTAATTTAGTAGGTGTAAATCAAACTTTGAAATTGATATTTGATTTTTTACTTTTAGAATAGCGCAACTTTCAGATGCTGCAGAAGGCAAATTCATTTTATTGTTCACATCATTCTATCAGTTAGATCGTCATTGCATTTGATTTACTATTCGATTTAACTGGAAAATTAACAATGAGAAGGTGACGAATAGGTCACTAACAATTGTAAAAAATTTTAATCTGAAAATGCAGAAATTAATGGAAATACCTTAACCCTAAAATGGAGAAATTAATGAAAGAAGAGTTATTTGAAGATTTTAAATCACAGTTTTTATTTTACAAAAAAAATGCAAATCAAATGATAACAAATTTCAAGAAGAAAAATAGAAAATTGTAAGACGGAATCCTTAATAGATTTTGAAATTATGTTATTTGCATCCTTCTGCTAGAATAACATTAAGCTGGTCTCAAACACTGGTATTAAGGCCCAAAAGTTGGGTATGATCACTTCCAGTTTGTTCATCGATAACCATGGAATGCACTGGTACCGGTGGTGTTGATGATGCTGATTGTGGCATAATATGGATTCCAGTCGGAACTGTCCTGAAAATTAAATTTACCTAAATCTTTGGCATTTTTTCCATATGCTCATTCTACCAATCTTTTTTCGAGTGTATCATCCCAATACTGTTTAGTAATATTATTTCTTAAAATTTGCAAATTTTTTACAAGTTAAAATTGAAATTCGAAATGCGAGTTATTTAGAAAATTACTTGTTACTCCGTATGATAGTCGTTTTGACTGGACTTGATGGTCTCTTAGATAAGTTGGCTATTGATTCATGATACTGCTCTCGATATGGTGCACTAGGATCATTAGCATGATATTGTCCGTTAGTTTCACTACGGTATCCACCAATACCATCAGCTAATACAGGTGCAGCACCTCCAATTGGTCCTCCTCGATAGTGTAAATCATTCTCATTGCCATGATACATACCATTCATTTCGCTTGACATCGAATCTGTTCTTGCCTTCGTGAATGGCTTAGTTTCCGAGGACTGTAATATGTTAATTAACCTTTGTCATATTACAGGAAGATTTACATTGAAAAATAAATACAATGTTACACTGCAAAGGTACTACTCAAATTTTTGCTTTAAAAACTAATTTGTATTAAATATCCAAAAATTAAATAATTCCTCTGTTCTGAAATTTTCTGTACTTTTAAAATTGATCCAACCATCTATCAAGTCTCAAAATTTCATCTATAATTAATTTTTATTGGAGATAAATTAAAATGAACTAATCAGTAAAAAACATTTACCCTCCAGTCACGGCTTACCATGGAACTTCGAATTGGTACTTTGTATAATGATGAGATTTTCTCCTCCGTTTGCTGCCGTCTTTTTTGTTTCAAAGTCCAACAACACAAAAATATAAGGATAATTGCCTAAAGTAATTTTCCATTTCAAATTATTCTTCAGTAATTCAACTTCTTTTCATCTTCTCTCTTCTGACCTTTTTTTCTTCCTTTTTTCTATGTTCATAGTCAAAAGAGGATGAAAATTTTTAATGTCTAATTCCCGGTATTTCTAGATGGAATTTTTTTTTCTCCCTAAAACTCACATTTGCTTGAGCATACTTTATACTGTTAGTTTATATAAAATAATAGTTGAATTTTGCCTAAAATTTTCCATCATTAAGTGATATGAACCAAAATCTGAATTTACTTCAAAAAAATTTTATTTCTCTTTCAAAACATACCATAATTATACCGATAGTTGAGAATATCGCGGTAAGCCATTTGAACAAATTATCTTTTTCACGTGAACGACACCATGGTTGTGACCCTTTGTTCCATTCAAATCGATAACTATGCGGATCGTTGTAATCCACAACAATACCACCTGTACTGGTAATCGAATTTAATAATTCGAATAATAAAAGAATAATGAGGTTTAAAATTATGCTTAAAGCAAATTTACATTTGTATTCATAATCGCCTTTGATCCAATGCGTTTGAAAGCAATCGAAGCGTGCCACATCACCTTCTAAATAACCAGATGATAGCACCGGTGTTTTCATCAAATATTCTGGATATTCAATCATGATCGGTCCACAACTATTATCTACAATGCAACGAATCAATTTATTTTAAATTTATTGGAAAAAAAAATTAGCATTTGATAAAGTAATGAAAATATGAAAAGAAATTCAAAATATACTAACAATGTCTTGAAGCATGCATTCTATTATTTGAAAATGAATTCCAAGTATTTTGTGCTTCAATGCCTAGTACTCGAGCATTAAATAGCATGTAATCATTAAGGCATGAAACGGAATCACCACATTCTTGAATTATTTGACTTGGATTATCCGGACAGTAATCAATGCCATATTGTTGCTCGTATAAATTTTGTAATGGTTGCCAATTTGCTATGAAATTGAAAATTTTTGTTGAATTAAAGAAATAATAATTATTTTAAAATAAATAATAAATGTTACAAAATTCGTACTAACAGGAAGTTCAGAACAAAAAAAGAAGAACTGCAAACTATAACTTACTTCGATCACTAAGCTGAAGGTCACGACATGCCTGTAATCGTTGGCTGAGCATTTGACCCGTCATTGGTACAAAACGATATCTACCACTGAAATAAAATTAATTCGCAAAATTTGCATTTAAATTGTTGTTAATTGGCTTATTACTTTTAAAATGGCCAGTTACTTGCAAAATTCACGAATGGAACAGAAAACATCAGAGGAAACATTATCCAAGCAATTTGGTCTGAATGATAAAATCGCATTAGAATGGGTATGTTACATTTTCTTACACCATTAATTAACCAATTAATTACGATGAATCAACTTATAACATTTGTAGTATTTTACATATCATTTGCAATATTTTACCGGTCACCTTTACAGTTAATATGAACAAATGTGAAAATAAGTCAATTATTGCAACGTTAAAATGTTAGAGAAACATACGTTTCGTATTCTGCGGAAGTTTTATAGATCGGCTCACTTTTTATGTGCACTTCCGGAAATACTTCGAATTTTTTGTCTATATCCTGACTGGTTGTAAACATATTATCAGTTGGAATATTCTGATTCAAAGTACCCATTGTTTGCCTAGTACTTGGTTCACCGGTACCCGGAATAAGATCTTAAATATATTAACAAGTACATCATGCTTAACTTTATTCGGCATTAGCCATGAGATAAGAATGAGAGTAATTGGATAATGCACAAGCATATATGGGTTATATTTTCTGGAATTCTGGAACTGTTAATTCTGCAAAATTCCAGTTACCGAAATGAACTCATAGATTGCATGATTATTATTAAATGACAATTTATTATTAAAATCTTTTGGGAAATCAGTTTTACAATCATTTATATCCGACTTAAAACCAGTACTATCACTATGGAATAAGTTTCATTGAATTGCGGAATAAATCATAATTGATCGCGGTGATAAATCAACTTATGCATAAATTTTCAAGCAATATTTTATTAATTTATTTAACGTAAAAAAATTATCTGAAAATATTTTAGGAATATTCCACTGAGAATTCTGAAAATCAATGATATCAAAAAGCAAACACATTTAAAGTAATCTCTCTCCAAATATTTCTTAGATTTCCTCAGAAAATTTAACTTGCAAAAGTATTCAATGCTTACAATTAGAAATAATTTGCTGACGGATTCCTTCCGCATTAACGTCACTCAAACTCAAACCAGATAAGTATGATGCAGATGTCTGGTCCGGAAATGGTCGCATGAGGCCGGAAACACGTGGAAGATTATATCGTGCACGCATATCCTGTTCTCGAGCTTTGTCACCATCTGGATGCTGCAAATAATTAGCAGTTGCATTTGAATATTCGACCATCGTCAAAGGAAGCTCGCAAATTTGATTTCAAGTATAGTACAATGATTTGTCCATTTATGATAATTATTATACTTCCGGGAAAAGAAATTTGAAAACTTACCACACCGTATTGTGGAGGTACACTGAGTTCAATGTCCAGTAAACCCATACTTTCTTGATACATCGATAAACGATCAATATCAAGATTATATGATTCACGAATACGAATTCCTACTTGTGCTTCTTCCAGAACTACATAAATTTCCGGTTGACCTCGTTCCACGTTGTTCACATACACCATTACTCCTTAAAATAAATTTCATGATAACAACATTTTTCATTGTTCCGGAGTAATATAGGAATAAAAGATGATTTATTTTGAAATTGCAGTGAATCGTAAAATGAATTCATTTAACTTCAATTCAATTCCATCCATCTAAATTCATATATATGTTTTGCATAATTTAAGACAGGATAAGTAAACTTTTAACTCAATCAAATTCACATACCTCTGAATCGCTGAATTCTCATCACATCAAAATAGCGGAGAATATTGCCGACAATTATGCTTGTACGATACCGGAAACGGCGAGTATCTTTGCGAGCAACGACGTGCACTCGATCGGTTCCAGTTGCTTCGATGGCTATTCCAGTAATAACAGTTGCATTTGTAGGTTGTACCAAGTTTGCTTGTCCTATTTGACGTCCAAGTAAGCCTATAAGAATATTATCCGATCTGTGGCTCAAGTAAATAAATAAACAAGTAGGTGAAATAATTTGATTAATTGATTGATTAGCAAAATCAAACAATTAAATCGGAAAATTTTAAATAGAAGATCAATATGAAATTCAAAAAGCTTACTGAAATCAACCCTACGATCTGGATAACGCTCCAATCGTACTTGAATTCGTACTTCTGGTGTTGTTATAGTTTTCGGAATATATAAAAGTGTGAACACTCCTGGTTCATTGAATATAAATTTATCATTATCAATGGTGTGAAAGCTCACTGCTCCAAGTGCTTCGCCTTAAAATTGATAAATATAAAAGTATAAATTAAATTTTAATTTTGAGCATAATTAAAATTTGCGTTTAGTGATGTGAAGTGTAAAATTTCTAACAAATAATAGAGCGCATACCGACAGCCGGAGGCTGATACTGCTGACAACCGCTACTTGGTCGTCTCCAGTAAAATAGTTGACAACGGAATTTTGCATATTTGCAGCAAAAGAAGTAAGGCATGTAATCATGATAAAATGCAGATAGGCCTGGTATCTGAAGTCAACAAGAAAGTGAATACTGCTATAAGATATTATCGATAAACTACAGGATTAAAAACCTTTGCAACCTCGTCAGTGACGTTAAGAAATGAATTGGATGCAAGCATGCGGTTATTTCAAAAAAAAAATGAAAATTTTCGAAATTTTTACTTCGAATTGTCCAATATATGGATCGGTACCGAATTCGTAAGCACGTAATGGATAGCCAGGATTATACGGTGTATCATCGGTTACTTTTATTACCGGTTGATAAGCCGTTTGCATCAATTTGCCCTCTTCATCATAACAACATACTTGCCCATAATGCGTTTGGAAGCGCCTATAATGTTAATTTTATAAGAAAATTAAAAATAAATGATCAATGGAATTTTTTTTTAAGGGTTACTTTGATTGATATTGACTGAAATAATTTCAAAATGATTTCGATCATTTTAATTTTTAGGACTTAAACATTTATGAAATTCTTGCAAAAACCTACGCTGTTTTTTCGCTTTCATAGTTTGAACCTTCACCAGCATATGAACCATAAATATTTTGGGCACTCATATAGCAATTCTTTGCACCGATCATCGTTTGACAAGTGATATCACGAAATACCTAAAGAATTCAATCATAATTATCTTTATAAAAAAATTTCTTCTACCCAAATTTTAAATGTATAAAATATGTTAGCCATAAAGTTGCAAGCATTTAAACTTATTTGACAATTAATCATCGTATGATTGAATTTCAGTACCATCCATTTTATATTTTTTAATAAAATTTCAATTTTCCATCAACAATTAATGATATTCATGCTATTAGTCTAACCTGAGAGCAACGAGGATGTGGCATAAAACGACCAATATCTACACGTGCTTGACTTTCCACGCATGGACAAGATGCATTCGTTTCCGTATCGCGAATAAAATTATATTGCGCTCCGTCTTCTGCGAACCTAAATTTTGAAATTGAATAAAAAATTTCATAAAATACAAAAAAAAAATGCTACAAAAATAAAAAAGCTATTTTTATTTTTTATTTATTTTTGTTTTTAGGGAAGACAAAAAAAAAAACAAAAATAAGTGTAAAATGTACCAGTCATGACATATTTCGGTTGCTTTAACTGAAACGAATTGCATTCTACTTTGTGCATCCTGTTGTGAATAGGATGATGATGTGAATTGTGGATTATTAATGGTCCATAGCCAATGAATTGATATTGGTGGTGAAACCAATCTGGAACAATGGATGATTATTTAAAAACCATAAAGGAAAAAAGACATGGAATATTTCGTTAAAAATATTTCAAAATAATAATAAAACATTGTTAAGATGTTTCAATTTACATGATGAATTAAGTTTAGATTAAAGCAGCATTTGAATATATTCTTTACACAAGAAAGAAGAAAAAAATAACCAACCCAGATGGTAGATGACTCAAATGTTGCAAAGAATCCTCATTAGCAGTAACTGGTGCTAATTTTAGGTAACCAAAGCGGTATGAATAAAGTGTATTCGTTCGCTCCCAGTCCGTTAGATACCATTTTTCAACCTAAATTATAATTATTGAAGTGTTGCTTTTAAATTAGATTACTTTAATTTAATTTACAATGCTGGGTATATTTATAAGTTATTGGGAAAATTTTTAATTCAATTTAAAATTATTTTCAATACCTGATATAGATTAATTTTTTCTTCCTGTGGCTTCCAGCGATACTCCGGTGAATTCCGATTGGCGTATGTTGCTAATCGGCATAAAACTCGATGTTCTGGACGGAATTTCTTAATCTAAAATAAGCAAGCATAGGATGAACAATTTGTTAGTTATTGCAATAAAGCTTTTTTTTTTTCAAAAATGACCCATATTCTTAATTTCTAACTATTATATTAATCATATCAATAAGCTACCTGATCATCAGCTGCTTCTCTGTAACCTATGACATATAAGCCAAGTTGTACGGAGTACAATTGATCATCGCTTATTCGTATGTTATAATCCTTGTAATCGATATCTGGATTTGTAAAATTGCGTGGATACCATGTTATTGGCATTACCTAAAATTTAATTTCAATATCTAAACAACGATTAATTGTAAACTAATCAGCATTTTACAATCTTGATTTATTTAAATTTGAATTAAGATAATATTCTTACCGTTTGTAATATCGGATTCCTAAACCACTCATATATATTACCAATATCCAGACGCATTGGATCTAGCGTTGGTGGTACTTTAAAAAGGATTAGGATTGTACAATATATTATACAAATAATACAATCAAGATTAATGATAAGATTGATTAATCTGGAACTAATTATTTAGATTTGAAATCTAAAATAAACTTTATTATCGAGATACAGAAAATCAAACATGATGCGGAACTTCATGAACCAACATAAAGTATCATTATGTTTGTTCATGAAATTTTTGAGTCTTAAACTTTTCATTGATAACTTACCAAAATAAATATATCCAACGAATGCCTTATCTTCTTGATGAGATCCGGATTTCGGTTGGAAATAAACTGTTTTAGTGCCCCAATCATAAACTTTCGGAAGATGACAGCGAGCAATAGCTGAATTAATTACGGTACATGACGCTGTTTGACGTTGCTCAATCATCAAAACGTACGTCTGACTACGATCCAAGCATAAAGCATTCACATCCACGCTTGTCTCACCCAACATATTGGCTATATTTGGATATATCAACATTGGATCTGAAATTTTTGAGTATTTTAGCTGTGAGGAAAAATTTTTAAAGGAATCGTTTTGACTAATTTGAAAATTCAGAAGAAAAATTTTGATGCAAATATTAAATTGTTAAAAATATCTAGATAGATTTATTTATGAAAATTTGATTCTAAAAAAGTCTAATAAATATATATTTCGATTCAGATATTACATTTATCAGTAATTCATACATTTTCATTAACCACGCATTTACACAACTAAAATATTACACGCAATTGCGCACGTAAACGTTGTTACATTCTACTTTGTATTATTATTAGAAAAATTGATTGTTAAAAATAAATGTACAATTAGTAAAGAAAAAACTTATTTAAATGTTTGCACAAAAATTCATATTTGATAATATGAATATTTGTTTGAAAATTTGAAATTCAATTCACATATGAAATTTCAAAATCTCATTAAAATTTACATGTGCCACCAGTTTTATTAGAACATCCGGCTGGTCGGACAACATCATCAACACGAAACATATACCGTCCACGAACCATATGAGGTACACCGGAACGTTGTGCCAATACTGTTGGTGTATTTTTGTACATGAATGTTGGATCTACCGGTACGCTACCGGTATGATTACCACCGTTAAAAAGAGCCTAAATTAAAAGATTACGAATATTATTGAAGTTTATATCTATCAAAATTGGTAAAAGTTTGAAAATCAAAATAGCTCACCTGACAACGACCACTTCTAGAGTTCAGCCGAAAATCGGCAGCATCAAATCCAAGTTTGTCGTAATTTAAAATAACATAACTCAATCGACCAGGCTAGAAAACCAAAATCGTCCCCAAAAACTTTAAATTTAAATAAAAGTTACAAATTGAATTTTACTTTCAATATTTTTATTTCACCTACTGAATTCAATTAATCTTTTTTTTTATCGAATAATTACAAAGTTTTCGAGAAAATTAGCCTAAATGATTATATCTTTCGACAATCATTAAATGAAGCATTATTTTTAATTGATGATAATTCTATCAAATTTCAAAACTAACCAAATATTAGAGTAATTATTCATACTAAGCCTTACCTGATCAGTTAACCAAATTGCCTGATAAGTAGATAATTGGCCGGCATCGATGTCTGAACGACCAACGATAGCTGATGCTGTATTGTACCAAGTAACTACCAATGCTGCATCTGCACGAAATGCTGCTGCACCAGCAACTCCTTCTATAAATTTTCACTTATATTTTTGATATTAAAATTATCATATCACTTTAATTAACTGTATTAAACTAAGATTTAATGAACCTTGAAGCCAATGCATCATTTGATCGAGGAAATAATCGCTATTACGATCACAGTGCACATATGAATCAGATGTACTTGGACAAGCCTATAATTTTCAGATAAAATTTCAAAAAATTTCAATTTCAATAGTCTTTTTTTTTTACAGTGATAATAAACAAGAAGACAAACTTGACTCGCTGGTTGCTTGAAGAAACTTGACTGCTCCATGGTACCACTAAATGGTATATTAACATTGCTACCACGACCAAATAATGACTGTCGTAGCATTAAACGATAGTAAACACCGGTTTTCAGCCCTGGGCTTGGATTTTGCACTATCTGAAAAAATAGTTTTCATATTAAAATTACTAAAAATTTCCTAAGTTCAAATTAAATCAGCAATTATGGTACTATCACTTTGATATTATCAAATTAGCAAGCGTTTGCTTCATACTTATTAATGTATCATTTCAAATTCATGATTTCAGACTTTAAGCAAATTGAAAACCTGTTGTTTACATAAATACGGTGCAATCATTGCTGGATCTTGCTGTTGTGGCCAGTTAGTTGATTCGACGCCAACGTTTATTGTTGGACCTTGATCTAATACAGTTGCAAATGCAATGTATCCATTTACCGAAAGCTTCAATTTATATATTTACTATATCATTTATAGATTTCTACCGAGAATTTTTCCCGGAAAAATTATTAAACTTCAAGTTTAAATTTTTAAAGAAAAAAAGGATTAAAACATACAATTGAATAATTGTACAAACCACCATAGAATGGAAAAAACATATGTAAATTAATTGTTTGCCCAGAAGTAAGCATTCCTGGATGTACTTTTTGATCACCCGCTTCGGGTCCGAATGGTACCAAGTTTACTGAAGTATAAAAAATAATGTAAATTATTTGCCACTAACTTAATTTGAGACAATTTTGACATTCAAACTGAGAAAATTCGCTGTTTTCAATTTTTAATTTAACTTTTAGAAATTTTTAGTTACAATTAGTTATATCTAACATAGCATACCATATGTTGAACTGCTTTCCAGACCGGTAAAAATTTTGGCACCTTCATGTCCTGGATTAAGATTTTGTTGGTTTGAGGATGGGGCCGGATTTTGCTGAGGTATTTGTTGAGCGGAACTAGGTAATGTTAGGTACATTATAACTGTAACGAATAAGAAAATTCTTGATTGTGTCATTTTAAGACTTTTTGAACTTCAGAACTTTCTGGATACAAGAATGATCTCGAATTAATTTTTCCAGAATCTGAAAACATTTATTCATACTGATAATAGGTATCCAAACATTTTTGAAACAAATATGAATCAATAATTATAATGTTCTGTTGATCCAAAACTAAACATCATATATTTAGAATTAAATTGAAAATTTCTCGAGATCATGAATAGAATGATATATTCTGCGCCATGTTCACTGTTCTGCGCCATGCTCAATGTTCAAAATTCTATAGAAATTTTAAAATTATCAATGTGAAAAAAAAACTAATAAGGACAAAATATCATCTAATAAGAAAATTAAATGAAATAGGAATTGATAGAAAGAAAGCGATAAAATGAATCATAAAATATAGGATAAGTGTATCTGAAGGATTCAAATATTCATTTTTTCTAAAATTGAACTGAGAAATTTTATAATTCATATGCTAATAATGTTCAATATGATTTTTTTTAAGAGCAGTTATGGTCATTACCTAAACAAAATTACTTATATTAAGCGATGAGTTATACAGATGACATGGCGTGATTATTTTAAAAAATCAAAACAAGAAAAATGAAATATTTGACGGTTAAGAATCCAAAGTTTTCTGCAAAATATAGAAATATTTTTTCGGTTAAAAAAATTGCCAATAAATTTGTACGAAAAATCATACACATTTATTAATTTGCAGAAAAAAGAAGAAAATTAATCAATGTATAGTACTTTTACTTAATTGTAACATTAAAATTTAGAGGATATTATGAATCATTGGTCAATAAATTGAAATCAGTAAAGAATGGAAAGAAGAGGAAGAAGAAAAAAGGAAAAAATATAAATTTTGTTGATATTTTACGTTTGAATGGTAACATATCAATGATTACATACATAGTTGGATGGATACCAATTTACCATTTTATCACTGATAACGATATTGATTGTATATGCTTTCAACTGTTGCGTTTATTAATAAAATTTCCACTCAATAATTGCTTAATAACTCGTTCCGTATATCAAAATCATTTACAAAGAAAAAAGTTTCAAAAAAAAGGACTGAAAAGAAAGTTATTAACACATAACAATTTAATAAACTATTAATCAAAAAATAAAAAAAGAATTAGATCAGAAAATTTTTATGTGCATTCCTTTCAAAATATTTTTTATTTGACGTTAATATAAGAAATATAAGAAAATGGTAAGTGATATGTAAAATGTAGGAAAAAATCCTCGTTTTTTAAATCAGTTTCAAAATTTTAAATTTTCGATTATCTTTTAAAATTTTTATCTATCACATCAAGATTATAATTTTAAGAAAAGAATAGAAAAAATTAACAATCGATAAATGAAATATAATCTTGTTGAAAAAGAAAATCGAACATTATAGTATAAATAAATGTGAGCAAACAAATTTTCCTCTGAATTGAATCGGAATTTAAGCATTCAATTGATGTTCACCAAAACGTATGCTACTTTCTATTATGTTTGATATCAATAATGCTAAAAATGTTTGAACACGTTCCTGAAATGCCATAGTAAAAATATATTTGTTATCGATGAGAAATGATCGTTTTTTTTTTCTTTTACATTCAAAAATTAATCAAGTCATTTATTGAAACAAAAAAATGAGAAAAAACAAACAAACAAACAAATTTACATTTCCTTTATTTTAATTTTATCCAATCAATAAATGCAATCGATTATTATTAGAATTTTTGAATCATTTCAATTTATTTGTTTATTTACCAATTTATTTATGAAAATGTGCTCATTGTATATGATTTTTATATATTTCTTGTTTTCAAATTATTCACTATATTCTGTAAAATTTTTTCATATCGATCATTGAGAATTGTTAATATTTGCTCATCACAGTTACTTTCGATATCGTAGTTTCCCTCTGTTCTTTATTTCATTCCTTTTTTCTCTCTCTCTCTCTCTCTCTTTCTCTCAATTTTTTCATTTCATTTTACTTCAAAATATCTGTTCTGTAAAATGATTTACACATAAATATCATTGATGATAGAAATGAAACAGGATAGAGTAGGTTTTCCGAAAATGAAAAGTGAAATGAGATAATTTGGTTTGTTGAAAGAATAGTAAAAATTTTAAATTTAAAATCAAATCAATGGAATTGGTAGTAGTAGTGGATTGAGACAAGTAGATGTGTATATACTGAGTAATATGTTTACTTAAGCGCTCACAACATTATGGAATTTCAGTTAGCAATGCTGAAATATCGACAAATACACTAATGTAGGAGGAATTTCGTTGAAACATTACGCAGGTAACATCAACATAAGCTTTCTATCCTTTTATTATATGTCCTCTGATAAAATTTCTTGTTGATTTCTTTCTTTATTTAATTTGAAATTAAAAAAAATATTTCAAGTCCAAAAGGAGAAAAAAGGGAACAAAAGAGAAGAGAAGAAGTCAAACATACGTATTTAATTTATTATTCAAAGATATGCTAATCCATTCATTATTTGAAATGAAAAAAAAAATTATTTCAAATACAAAAGGAAAAAAAGAAAACAAAAGAGAAGAAAAAAGTTAATGTTAGTTGAAAATTCAAGTCAAATTAATAAAAAATAATGGAATAGCACAATTTTATGTAAATAATTAATTTCTAACAGAAATCAAAGTTTAGACATGAATTCTCGAGATTTTTTGTTAATTCAAAATTCCTGTGGACGAAAAAAAAAAATAATGTTGAAAATATGTCCAAAATGTAAACATCAAGATTCTTATTTTAATCTAACAAATTTGTTCCCTATTAACAAGATCAAACAAATTTATGAATTACTAGATGAAGTATATCACGAACAAAAAGCAATTACACATAACATACATTCCGTAAATGGATTTTTTTTTTAATTTTCAAAATTAATTCATCAAAAACAAAACAAAAAGTCCATTAATCGGAAAATATAATTTTATAAGATTAAAGTATGATAAATTAAAATTAATTTATCAGTGATCCAAATCAATGAATGAAGTGTGCAAAATTAAAGTATGATAAACCTAAACTACCTGCTTGCTATCTTCTCCATTGCTTTACAGATTATTTGTTGAAGGAACTAAAGTGGTTTGTATGTCTGAGACTATTTGTATATGTGTGCTTAATATTTCGGAGGATTACAGGATGCACACCCAATATAAACTGCAAATGAACCCATGGTCAGTTACCATACTTTCAGCTCACTTCAAGCTGACTTAAACCGTTATGTACAGTAAGCACAATTAAATCAGTAATTCCATCTTATCTATTTAAACTTTTTAATTTCGATGCATACACAAACATACAAATGTAAATATAATAATTACGAAGCATACGAATTAAATATTGATAAGATTATATGCTATCTGTTTTAAACGATATTTAAATTGTCGTTATGCTACCTTGAGTTAATTAACTGTACAGCAATCACTCAATAACTATTTCTATTGAATTGGCATCATTCATATTGTTTGCTAAAGTTACCAAATGAAAAGTGTTAACAAGCGAATATGTTTAAGTATTTGGAAAGGCAAATATTAACTTATAAAAATGAAATAATTAATTGAGATAAGTGATTAATGATGAGTAATTTGAAAAAGTTAGAAAAAAGAATGGAAAACTATTGCTAATATCAAATACGAAAGATATTTGATTCAATCCAATTATACTTATCTGAACCAATTAATTTAAAAAAACTAACCTTTTAAAAAAATACAATTAATGGAGAGCAATAAAAACAAATGAATTAATTAAGATGGAACTAAAAAAAAATCATTGTTTTCTGTTTTTCAACAAAATCCTTTGCTTTTCGATATTACAATCAATCACGGATTTAAATTTATCTCACGAAAAAAAAATGCAATTCTTTTTTTGGTATATTTGGATAATTAGTGCAGTGATTTAGAAAAGGAAAAAAAAAACGAATTTGATGATTGAAATTTGAAAAGGATAGAAAAAGCTATCTTAAAATGGAATAAGACTATTAATGGTGATATTTGTTGATGCCCGTTTGGAGCAAATGATTCATCAGTGTAAATAAATATGACTTCTACCTTTTTATGATAAAGAACATGCAATCCTGAAGTAATCATTCTTTCTCCCTTCTTCCACTTTTCCTTTTTCTAAATTTTTACAAAATTTTTGTTAACAAAGAAAATTACAAAATTGGATCATAAATTTCCTTTTTCCAGTGATAATTTATTAATTTGGTTTATTTTGAAAATTTTTTTTAATAATCTAAGAAATTGAAAATAAGAAACGAAGATTATCAAACGCATCAAAAATGCAAGTAAATGAATTTGGATAAATTGAGTTTTGTTTAAAAAAAAATTTTTTGCATTCCTATTGCTCTTGCTGAATTCTAGTCTAAATCTACAAGGAATAAATTACTGTTGAATATATTTATAAAAAAGAAATATTAATTCGATTGATTTTATAATTTCTGGTTCCATTCAAATGTAACGAAATAATCAAGTAATAGCAAGCTAATTATCTGAATTTTAAAAATAATTATTACTAATTAATATCAACAGTATTTCTTATCAACTTCTTAAATTTGGCTTAAACTTGAACATTTATCCCTTTGTTAGGAAACAATTTTAAAAACGTTGAAGATAAGCGGATTCTGTAGATAATATCAATTAAAAAATTTGATAAATAAAGTAGTTTTAAAATTAATACATTTACTTTCTCAAGATTAGTACAGTCTACATTTATATCACCAGAAGTAAAGTGAATGTAAGCGAGCAGGAAAAAGAGTCAAATAAAAAGTTTGAAATTTAAAACAAACTAACAGTATAAGTGCTTTAATTCAGATTTCTCTCCCTTTTTCCACTTTTCATTATTTATATTTTATTTAAATTGAAAAAGCAAAAAATCGTTTTTATTTAATAATAAATTTATGCTAATTATTAAATGTTATAGAAAATTGGTAAAAAATAGAAATAG